TGAACATACAGAACAATAATGTCATGAGTAGAATCTTAATTCTTAGCGAATAATTATCAAATTTTGATATATAAATAGAAATTACATCTTTTTCATGTTCTGAAAATCAAATAGTATGTCTCGATACAACCATTCATCAATGTGTCAATATTACACAAGTTTATAATGAGTATATATTTGTTGTTTATTGAATACATAGATTAAAAAAAAAATTTTTTTTTTCTAAAGTAAACTTCATTGTTTTGATGATGGTGATGATGGATCTCCATTATGTAATAATGATCAATATTCAATGGATAATGATGCTTGTAATTATATATAATCATTCTTTGTTTTATCAGTGATCAATATATGCAAAGACATTCAACATTAGATATAATTTCAAATAATTTATTTAAAAATATTGAACGATTAGGTACACGTGATTCATTATCCTATGGACAACTTTCAAATGATACTATATTAACATTAATCCAAAGTAATAATACATTACCATTATCAGTTAATGTAAATCACACATATGTTTTAATAATCGACAAATAGAACTTCTAGTTTTGTTAATATTGAATATTCAACATAAGTGTATACAGAAGTGTAAGTTAAGAGAAAGATAAATTCATTGCTAAATTATTAATTTCATTAAACAGAAAATCTAGTGTTTCTCTGACTTTGATTTGATATATAATATATGCAAAGTATCTCATTTCATATAGATAAAAGCTTATATCAATAATTTCAAATATATTCTAATTACTTCTTATATTCTATTAATAAAGTCTAAAATATGAGAAATATTTTCTATCAATCAGAAAATTATAGTCTGAACCTTTCCTTCACTGGCATGCATCTTTAAAATATATATAATTTAGAGTTTATTTTCTCGTCATGGTCTTAATTTAACATCATCATTACAAATTCTAATTGAACTACATGTTCGTTGGTTAACAAAAAAATCAAATAATTTTTGTATTCAATTAAAAAAGAAATTAGTAGGTTCATTTATATATCTATCTGATTTATTTCCATCATCACAGCAATTATCAAATATATATGATTTATGTGGTGAATATTTTCATACGTGGTTTGATAAAAATGATTTAATGATATCATTAATAAGTTATAATTTATGTAAATCTGATATATTATTTGGACAAACAACAAAAGAATATAATGAATTATATATACATTTAATTGAACAGAATTATAAATTAATAACTAAAACTCATGCATATGTATCATGTTTATTTTTAATTGAAAGTCATGAAGTTGACTTAAATTTATATGATATTTTATTATCATTACTTAAAGATGATAATTTAACACAAAAAATGATATCAATTAGTCTTGAAACACTTTTAATAGTTGGTCAATATGGCAAAAATGATATATGGCGTTTATATGAATGTTCAATAACAATTTATACATTATTACAACAACCAAATGAAAATACAAATTCATTAAATAATGAATATGTTAATGAAGAATAAGAAATGATTAATAGTTCATCAATAATATCATTATCAGATAATATTCTTATTGAACTTGTTGAAGAATTATATGAACGTACTAAACAATCATCAACATTACCATTATTACTTGTACATATTGGTTTATCGGATCGTTTAATGAATAAAATGGTTTTAGAATTTGCTGCATTAACGCAACAATTATATCCTCAAATATTTGCATATACAGTTTTTGCTTTTTTTTCATGCTTTAATTAATGCACGTTATTCATCTAAAGTTAATGAATGGACTTTATTATCAATGACAAATATTGCACAAAGAAAATCAATATGTATGGCTATATGGTGGTTAACTTGTCTTATGTTAAGTGCATGTTCATCACTTACAATTGCTGATGCATTGTAAGTATTTACTTAAGGGTACCCCCCCCCCCCTCTCTTTTTTGACACTTTCTAGTTCTCGAAGACGGTACAACCGATCAAGCTCAAATTTTCAGCACAGATAGAGCATCAAAAATAACGAGATACGTGTTCGAAGAAAAAAAAATTTAAAATAGGTTTTTATGGAGTTTTTTGGAAAACTGGTTTTCCAGAGGTCCACATCCTGACACATTACGACCCCCCTTAAAGTTTGTCCGATTGGGCTGAAATTTTGTTTATAGACGCCTAACACTATTTCCCAGAGGTAAATTTAAGGATTTCCAAAAATCTTACTTTCTTTCTTTTTTATAAGCGAAATACGCCAAGATTTGAGTTTGCGCTTCAGATCTTGACTTTCATGATCCGGTAACTGCGAGCAGAAATGTCAAAAATGAAAACGCTTGATTTTACCTCTGGGGAATACTTCGAAGCATTAGTGGTGAAATTTTCAGCTCTATCGGACAAACTAAAAAGGTGGTCGTAAGCAGTCAAGATCTAGAAAATCGCTGTTTTACAGAACACTAAGTAATAGAAAAAAATTTACATACGATTACTATGAAAAAAAAATTTTTCTCGATCTCATAACTATGTAAAAGTAAGATATTTAGAGTCGAATAATGTCTCTAGTTGCATGTGGTACTTCAAGCTATTATATCTTAGGCTCAGCTCGAAATCGAGTTTTTGGTCACCGAAGAGGGGGGGGGGGTGTAACGGCACTAGCCGTCACCTATGTTCTCTCTCTCTCTTCCTTCTATTGTCTTTCATTGATGACTCTTTTTTCTTTATTTTGTCTCCTTTGTCGCGCTTTTTCTCTCTCTTCTGATATATCATTATTCATTATTCTTTTTCTTAGTTAGTAGCTTCACTACTACTCTTTTTCTCATCTTTCAACACACATAGCTTCTTCATTGATCTTGATCTCTTTGACTCATTTTCTATCATATACATCTTCTCGTCTATCATTCAATAAAATATATTTCGTGAAGCTTCATCAAGTGCCAAACCTACTGTGGCACCTGGGATTGCAGCTTGTTGTTGCTTCACAGGGGGGTACCCTTAGATCATTTATCCTTGCTGATTTTCTTTTCTTTGTTCTTTATATTAATCTTTAAAGAAAACAAGATTTGTATTGAAATTTCATATTGATGATTTAATAGTGAAGTCGTATTTGGACTGTTGGATGAGCTATTTTTCTCCACCTATGGTTAAATATTCTTTCTAGTTTTCTTTTTAAAATTATCGAGACTTACGCGTACGATTAAAATTTATTTGGAAAAGATAAATAGTAGAACATTAATGAAAAAGAAAACTTCTTTGTTGCAATCCGAAAGGATGACGATCAATACAAAATCAATAAATTTCGCCATGAAATGTCAAAATGAATTCTCATAGATAATATGACATATCTTTTATTTTTTTAGGTTTTCATTGACATTATCACGTTTTAGTGCTCATTTTGAAGAATTAGATAATCATTTATTTCTTATTGCTGGTTGAGAATATTATCTGCAGGTATATTAAAAGAAAACCTGCAAATATCAATTGTATCAAAAAAAATCTATTTTGTTTATTTAGTTAACGAATATTGAACAACAACGTCAATTTGAACAAATATTCATAAATGAATCGAATCCAGAAAAATTATATGCTGATTTATTTTCACACATTCAAAATACGATCTTATCATCGTCTTGGATCTGGGTGTGGACGTGTGGGTGTAGATGTTGTTTGGACGTATTGATGGATCATATACTCTCTCTCATCCATACCCACACCCTCAATAAAGACTAAAAATATCGATTCATAAAATGAAAACATATCAACAAGAATTCATTTATCTACTTTTTTACTAAAGTCGATCTCTGTTATAACAATCATATCTAAATTTTCTAAACCAATCAGAATAGATTATCATTAAATTTTAGTTGTATATACTAATACGAAATAGGTTAAGTAAAATATCTCTAGTGAATGTTATTTTTGTTTGCAAAAGATAATCAATTTCCACAAAACCCATCAGTCTCATTTATTTTGTGCATTTATGCTCTAATTTCTGTTTGGCTTGTTGATTTGTATTTCATATTGCATGTTTTATTATGATTTCAACCATTGATTTAACTAGTAAATAAGTCGGTTACATGTATCCATTAAAGTTAGAACAGGAACAGTTCACCTTTTTTTATATTGATTCCATAACGATTACATTCTATTTAAAGTATTCACAAACATATTTTAGCCGTTGAAGTTTCAAGGAAGGCTTTAAAATGTTTTAGAATAGTCTAAATCTGGTTGATGATGCCATTCAAAGCCTTTTCTGTTGCTATTCCTCCTCCTTTTACCAGGAAAACCATGGTCATTGGTCTCTGACCTTTAAACCATGTCGTTGGAGTCTAAGAGAAAGCTGCACAAATCTGGGTTAAAACTTGCATTTATAACCAGTACTTGAAGGGTGTGGGTGTGGGTAGATTTTCTCTTCATCCATACCCACACCCACACCCAAAATCCAAAGTTACCAATCGATTGAGCTCGTCGAGCTCTATTCCGGCATTGTCTGGCGCAGCTGGGGCAGCTTTAGCACCGAATCTTGGCTGGATTTACTATCCATATGCTAAAATTTGCATAGGAAAAAACTAGTATTTTGGGATTTTTTCTTGAATGGTTGGAGCTATGCAAAATCCAAAGTTACCAATCGATAGAGCTCGTCGAGTTGTATTCTGGCGCAGCTATGGCGGGTTTGGCGCCGAATCTTGGCTGGATTAACTCGAATATGAGGCTAACTTCACCTACGTAACGCCGAAAGGAAAAATATCGAAGGGGAAAAATGTCGAAAGAAAAAGAACGAAAATGTTGAAAGGAGAAATGTCGACCGGAAAAATATCGAAGGGAAAAATATCGAAAGAAACAGAACGAAAATATGAAAAGGCGAATATTGAAAGAAAAAGAATGAATAGAAAAATATTCAAGAGAAAAAATTTGAAGCAATAATCTCTTACTTTTAATACAATAATTACATCATTTATTGCTCATAGATATAGATAAAAATGAAAAAAAAGTGTCGTTTTATTTTTTCTGCTTGGCAACTACACGTGATAGACCATCTAAGTATTCCATAACATGTATAAGACCATGATTATATCGTTCAGTATGATTTTCTATATGATGTTGAATAGCAATAGCTTTAGCTTTTTGTGTTCTTGTACCTAAATCTGAAGAGAATTGAATATGCATGGGATGAAAACGACTCTCTTCTGCTTGAAGAAATTTAATGAACGACCAGATGTTCGGATGATTAATATGTGCTCGACGATTAAATCGACTACATAGGCGGCGGAAGCTGGAGGCTGGGTGAGGCATGAGCCTCACCAGAATTTGGTGTCTGGAGGCTCAGCCTTACCCAAATTATGAATACGATATTTTTTTGCACGATGGTTTAGAC